TATATATATATATATATATATATATATATATATATATATATATATATATATATATATATATATATATATATATATATATATATATATATATATATATATATATATATATATATATATATATATATATATATATATATATATATATATATATATATATATATATATATATATATATATATATATATATATATTAATAAACTTCACAGCCACAAATATAAATAACACAACTTGTACTAAAACTGGGCGAGGATTTGAAAGAATACGATGCTTGTTATATAATTTAAAATGTTTTTCCTCTTCTCCTATTTCTGAGATCAATGATCTCAATCTTATGGCTCATTCTTCACGAATATAGAATTAAAATAATGGCACGTTAGGTTTATTGTGCATCCCGCGGGTGCAACCAACAAGGGTTGTGCATTTTAGTTTAACTTTTTGAGCGTTATAAGCAGTTCGGTGTTAGTTTTTATATAAATATATCAAGCCGAAACTAAACAGCGCATTATCTCCGCCTCCTCGTTCATAACCAGCTGGACACGCTACTAAAGCAAGCAGGAGAGATAGCCTACTCCGTCATTCATAATCTTAGCTGATGTATCCGAGTCGAAAGAATATATTAAAGAGGAATGTTCTTTTAACAGTCCCGATACGTTTAATCTTTTTATTTTTTATTTTTTTACTTTTTTTCCTGTCATTTCTCTTCATCAAATTATTTTTTAAGCTGCTTGATTATGTTAAAACAGAAAGCAGAGCCCGTCAATTGAGAGCGATGCATGTCATGTGTTGCATAATTGCCTTTTTTCCTGTGCGTGCGTGATCAATTTCTGATCCTTTTTTGCTCGGGCTCTCACACACAACCTTTATGTCTACTGTGTCTTTAATATGGTGTGTAGATTATTATGCGTTATTGAAACATCAAGGGGGACGCAGCAAAGTAACTTATAAATTAAAATTGTATTATTTTATGCAACAGCCTTACATTTAAAACGGAAACATAAGGGCGATTATAAGCAAAAAGACCTCAAGGCTAGATGTTTTCTTTCCCTTTTTTATTTATTTGTTTATTTTGGCGCATGTGTGCGATAGGAAAACTAGTGTAATAAGGCAAGCCATCTTTCCCAGACTCGGGGCAAATTCCGCCTTTCCTTTCACTCCGTCCTGAAGCCCCAGCTGGCCCTCCTGCCATCCACTGCGTAAAACATATGCTGGATAAGTTGACGGTTCATTCCGCTGTGGCGATCACAGACTAATAAAGGGACTAAACCGAAAAGAAAATGAACGAACGAATGAATGAATAAATTAATAATAATAAAATAAAAATAAGGTAATAATCTTTAAACACAAATGACGCGTAAGCGGCCTTTTTATTTTTAGAGATGGTACATTTGAATTGCCTCTTCCCACTTCCCCCACCTCAAAATTGAAAGTTGAAAAGAGAACTATAGCTCATTTACACCTTGATGTCTTAGCCTCAATAGCAAAGAGCATAGCCCATTTACACCTCAATACAGAGCAAGTTTAGCGGAAGAATGTCAAATCAGAATCACGCAGATGAAGCACACCAGCTACTACTTTCATGAAACTATTAAATGTGTATTGTCATAAATTTGCTTATTTGCAGCAGCTTTTTTTCGCGCAACAGAATTGCGGCGTTGGGAAGCCGTCAATGAATAAAAACAGGGTCAATAGTGAAATCGGCTTTTCATTGTATCCCTATTACCTATATCAGTGCATTGAAGGCCTTTTATGGTGTCATCACGATAGAATAGCCTAAGTTATAAATAATTTAAAGAACAAATTTATAAAAACTCACATTACATAAATAAACAATTAAAAATATGTTTAGGTTGTCTTTATTTAATTGCCCTCGTGATGATGGTGTGCTTTATCGTTTTACTTATAACGTGATTCAAATGATGGATCTACAGAGAAACTAGGGGTTTTGGGAAACATGCATCACTATATCCTTTTTTTCCCCAAACAGTGCATAGTTCAGCCGCAAGTTACTGTAGCCTACGTTTTTTTTTGGGAAAGCGCCCCATGTCCGCTAGTGCCGCGCGCCTCTTTCTCTGGGCAAAAAGGAGTTGATTTTTTAAATATTAAATATATAGATTAATTAAATATTCAGCAAAAGAGACATTTATTTGATATTTTACTATGCATTTCATCTGATAGGCAAATATTTATAGCTTAATTAAACACATATTGTCAAAACCCACACATAGGCCTATTGTATGAAAATGAAAAGGGCATTTTTTGTTATTATTAGACATTACTATTTGTTATTTGTTGCCTAAGCTATTTTCACATTTTCACATTTGAGGTGCTTTATTGGCATGACAAGTAACTGTACATTCGTTTTGCCAAAGCAGTGCAGCGTTGCGTCTCACAAAAAAAGGGTAGTAGTGCAAACAAATATGAAAATAACATAATAAAAAAATGATTAATAAAAATAAAAATAGAATAAAAAAAATAAATATATAATAATAAAAATAAAAATAGATTTTTGATAACATTAAACAGTATAAAGGTAATAATAGTAGCCTATTATCAAAAGTAGGTCCACATAAAGAGTTCCAGCCTGTGTGTTGGAGACAGGAACGGGTGGTTGAACACACAGCAGCACACACACTCCCCCAGTAAGATGGGTTCTGTTCGACAGGGACTCAAATTGTTTTGTATGTGTTGGATTATCGGGTTGAATTTCTCCTGGATCTCGGAGCAGGCCCGTGGCATGTGCAGGATAAATTTTTTGAAGAGCGAGGGGGGGGTTTGGGGGTTGTTGTTGCGCGCGTACTGAAGAGCGGTGTTGAAGCGGTGTTGTCGCACGCGTACTCAAGAGAGGTGTTGTCGCGCGCCTACTGAAAGGGCGGGACCGAGGGTGTGCCGCGTCGGGGGGGCACTTTTGATCATTTTGGAAGGGCACTTTCTATCCAAGACTAAAAAAGGCATGTGCACTGCACAGGTTGAGCCCTATGTGCTCGTGCCTGTCTCGGAGTATTTAGTGCACTTAGTTAGGATATGCAGCTCCGTCTCAATCAGCTGCTGAGGGCACAGCCGCTTCCCCACCGGCAGCCATGTTTTTTTTTGTGCCAGCCCGTCTCTACGGCTGGCTGATGTCCGCTGCCTGCTTCTAACATGTTAGAAAATACTGCAAATCAAGCTGTCGGTATCTCCCCGCGGTTGAAATTGTTCGTTATTCGAAAAAAATATATAAATATCAGTGCGCAAGCTTTCTAGATTTATTTTAGGCCTATATTCAGCTGTTTTAATCTTGCAATTCTGATAACTTTTAGAGATAATGTCTGTTTTTATCAACTTGTCTGTCATTTATTTCTCATTTGCTACTTATTTTATTAATTTGTTGATGTTAATATACTACATATAGTCTTGAATATGCATCTAAAATCCTTTGGCATTCAAATTTGCTTTGAACTTGAAAGAGAGAAAGAATCTGATTTTACCCGTCAGAGCACATTGCATATGCCTTTTTTTAAATAACATTTATTTAACAAATATTTTAGCACATCGAAAGTAATTAAATTACCTGTCTTTTGATTAAAACCTTTATGCAAAAAGATCAGAAAAAAAGGCAATATATGCGACATGACATCGCTCTCATGCCACGATTTGAGGATAAATTCGCTTTTAGGTGCTGCTTTGAATAAAATAAAACTATTAAAAAGCACATTAAAGACACTCATAAAATAAAACATTAATAAAGGAGTATCTTATGAAAAAACACCAATTGTCGGGCTCTGCTTTCGGTTTTAAAAGAATCAAGCAGCTTTAAAAATATAATTTGCTGAAGAGAAATGACAGGGAAAAAAAGATTAAACATATCGGCACTGTAAAAAGAACATTCCTCTTTGATATATTCTTTCGACTCCGACACATCAGCTAAGATTATGAACGACGGAGTGTCTCTCCTGCTTCAGTAGCGTGTCCCGCTGGTTATAAACGAGGAGGCGGAGAGAATGCGCTGCTTAGTTTCGGCTCGATATATTTAATTAAAAACTAACACCGAGCTGCTTATAACGCTCAAAAAAGTTAAACTAAAATGCACAACTCTTGTTGGTTGCACCTGCGGGATGCACAATGATCCTAACGCGCCATTATTTTAATTCTATATTCGTGAAGAATGAGCCAACCGCATATGCTAAGTCAGTCCTGTTGGTCGGGACTCTCTGCTTTATAACTTATTAGTTTATTACAATAATCACACTTAGCTTTGCCATCGTTCTTCACCACATATAGCCACTCAACACATCTTGCGGTCCATCTTTAATGTTTAGATTATTGAAGGTGCTATTGATGTTTTGAGAAAAAAAATTAATAGTACTGAAACTAAATTATTAAAAATAAACTTGCGGGACTTCGTTTATGTCCTGCGGCAACATTATTTTTATTACACTTTAAGTGATCTGCTTGAGGTAGGTCACGTTTATCAATGGTAAGTTTTAGCCTAAGTTTACATCAATAACATAATGTGCATTGTCCTTTACCATACAAAAAAAGTAAAAAAAAAAAACCCATTTATTTATATTTTAAATGCACTAAAAAGCAAGCGCATATCTTAGCCTTGAGTTTGTTCACACTCTGCCTGTATTAACATAAATGCTGTATTTTAATATAGCTAATTTTGATTAGCTTTAACTGACAGCCTTTTCTTCTTTTTCCGCGGTTATGCGGCATTATATTTCACACGCATATGCAAGGTGACTGAATATGAAATTAAAATACAAAACTTACTGAGCCATTAAGTAAAAAAACAAAACAAAACAGTTATACTTTAAAGCAGAACATTGACGTTTTGAAATAAAAAAACGCAACTGAAACTAAATTATTAAAAATAAACCTGCCAGACTTAATTTATGTCCTATTTTCATTATTTATTTATTTTCATTATTCGTTTATTATTATGTACTATAATTGAAACATAAAATGAGATAGTAAAATATAATCAACAACGAAAATGTAAATAAAAACGTAAATTAAAAACATAAATGAAAATATCTTGTCTTAGTCCTATCAAAATAGCAAACTACATCTCTCTATATTTAGACTAAAAGACTGCTTTATTTATTTAATTATTTATTTATTTATTTATTTATTTATTTATTTAAGACTACTTATTTGTACTGAATGTTTATGCTTTCACTTTAGTTGTCTTTCATTTCTTCAGTTCTATTTTCCAAAACGAATCCTCTTTGCACTTAAAAAGTTCACAATAAACCAGGTAAACAAATTTTAAATGTAAGTTGAGGTGATCGCAAGTTCACAACTGTGAGGTGATGTGCTCTACTGGCAGGATAATCTATATTATTTTGCTGTTTTTCATATGCGCACGTTTAAGATTTGAGATAATAACATTGCCATGATAGTCAAAGAAATCAAAACATTATTTTCACCCCAACGCAATTTAATCGGGCACTGAAGGCTAATAACTTAATTCTTATATTTGCTTTTTGACTTCTCATCATGTCTTTTCTACAGCATAGTATAGTGTAAGAGCATGTCTATTACCAGAAAAAACTAAATTAAAATTATATTTTAATTGAACACATCACATCACACACAGTAAGCTACGCCTACAGAACAGTCTGTTTAGCATTGTGAAAAGGCAAAGCTGAATATCTGTGGTTAAAGTGCCACCCAGCGGTCAAATGCTGCTGGCGCATCAAGTACCGCCGTCGCCGCGGTATGAATGGCGGCACAAGGAACACATTGAAGTAGTAACATCTGTATATCAGTAATATAACACAATTATTGCTGTTTTCTCAAAAGCAGAATATTGTATTCTAGAGCTGCACAAAATATTTCAGCAGCAAATTATAATATTTGTAGTTTTTGCAAAAAAATAATTGTATTAAATTATTTAAATGGTGAAGAACATGCAGTGTTTTGTTTGTTATTCAGTGTATATTATTCAGTGAATACTTTAAGACTGCTCATATTTTATTTGTATCGTTGCTCTGTTGTATTTATCTATACTTTTAATATGTTTATTACATTTATTGGAGATGCACTCTCCTACAAATTCATTCATCTTTATCTTTTGATCTTTATGTCTATAGTGCTTTTACAAAGTAGATTGTGTCAAGGCAACTAAACTTAGAAGTTCCAGTAAATTGATGTTTTGTCTTTATTTTTGTAGTGCTTTTATGATGCACATTGTGTCAAAACAGCTTACCATAGATGAAGAAAATAGAATAAAAGCCACTTTGTAGAACATTCCAGCATTTAAGGCAGACAGGAGAGAAGTCGTACAACTGTTTTAGTTCCAGTTAGATTAAAACTGATTCAGTTCTATTTAATAAAGATTTCACTGCTGAAGTTCAGTTCAGTTTAAAATGTAACTGCTAAAGAGCAGGCCTTAAACAAGCAAGCCAGTCCAGTTAGATTAAGTTCCAGTTAGTTCCAGTTAGTTCCAGTTAGATTAAAACTGATTCAGTTCTATTTAATAAAGATTTCACTGCTGAAGTTCAGTTCAGTTTAATTAAAATGTGACTGCTGAAGAGCAGGCCTTAAGCAAGCAAGCCAGTCCAAAGGATCCAAAACATCAATTTATAAAAAAAAAATGGGGAGAAATTAGGCGCAGTCTGGTTTTATAACATTTTAAAAGCACTGAAATCAGACAACGTATCTCAGTTAAGGTCAGACAATTTTAGGCATTCTGTGAGAAAATGGAATTAAGCATCTAAAAGCAAGCCTAACGGGCCCAAGTAAATTGATCGTAAAAAATGCCTCTATCATGAAACATTTTCTAATTGCAGTCAGAATGACATGACTGGCAAAGAGAGTGACCTGAATGGAGAGAGTCAGGCATGATAGGAAGTTTGTTGTTATTAGAGAATGCCTAGTAGTGTAAAGATGCCTTTTGAAAACCTAGTGTATATAATTTAATTTGATACAAATCTGTTTAGACAGTCAAGACATAACAATTAAGAATTATTTCAAGTCAAGTCAAGCCGTATTGTCATTCTACTACACGTCAGAACATACAGTTGAGTACAGTGATGTGTCTTGCAGTACCATGGTGCTACAAACTACAATGTAGATATTGGGACTAGCAGAGTTTTGCATAGTTCAAAGTTCCTCAAAATATAAACTTAGTCTTTCTGCTATTTCTTCTTGCAGTGATAATGAGGAGGACAGAGTTTCACAGAATGGGCGTCCTGCAAAGTTGGAGTTCAAAGACGATGAGGAGATTATTACAACCAATAGCATTCAAATCACTCAAAGCACAGATACAATCACCTCCAACTCCACTACCACCACCCTTACACGCAAACGTGGTGGAGTCCCATCTAAAACAGTTGACTTGGGTGCAGCTGCTCATTACACTGGAGACAATAGTAGTCCAGAAGCTGACAACAAGGTAAAATACTGGCCTTTTAATTAATTCCACTGTTATTACTTTAATAGTACAGTAGATGGCTCATAAAGGCATAATTGATGTCAGTGTTCTCAGTTTGAAAAAAATAAATCTGTCAACAGGAGCCTTGTGAATATAAGTGCATTAATGTACTATTAAAAATAGTTTCACATTAATGGTTCATTACTTCTTTTTGAACAAGTGTTACTTTATATTGATTAAAATATTACTTACTTACAATTGTTGACAATTTATAAATCTATATATCGAGTATTTACATCATGATAATACAAATAATGCATAACCTAATCAGTGTAACTTAATCAGCTTTTTAAAAATATATTTTTTACATACACTGCAAAGCTAAAAATACAAAGTTTGAGTGGACCTATACAGTCGTAGCTGTAGTAGTGATTATGGATACAAAAGCAAACCTCTGCTGCCATCGTGTGGTAAAATATAAAATCATAATATTTTTTTTCAGACCTCAGCAAATCAGTCATCCACCCCAGGACTGACAGATTTGTTGATTGTTCAGTCTGGTTCTGGTCATCTGTTGTCTTCAGGTAAAACCCCATCAGGTGCATTCTCCATATTTAAATGCATGTTTTTTTGCTAAGCATTTATTATTGCTCACACAAGGTTAAGCTTTCAAACTAATTTGGCATTAATTATTTCTTCCAATTTTCTTTAATTCTGGAGATTTAACTCATGTAGATTTTCTTACTCTTACAATTAGATGTTCTTCAGTGATGCAGCTAGATAGTTTTACATTATGGGTGTGTATTGTATGTGTGTAAGTATTTCTCAGTATTTTCAATAAAATGGAATAATTGTTTATTTGCTAACAAACGCCAAACAAAAGCCTCATGTGAGATATTAAAATCACATTTTTAATCAGCTTTAAAAAACACAAAGACATAGGTTTGTTTATTTATTCATTCATTCATTAAGTCATTATCTTTTCAGCTTAGTGCCTTTATAAATTTGGGGTCGCCGCAGTGGAATGAACTGCCTGTTTATTTATTTATTTATTTATTTATTATTCATTTATTTATTCATTCATTTTTGCTTTTGTGGGCAGAATAGTACTGATAGGAGAGCAAAGGACCATTAGGGAGGAATCTAACAAAGATGTCTGTGACCGTAAGCACAGTTCTGCTACACTGTGTCTGTGCTGTTCCAGCCCAGCCTGTTCATAGCTATTTGCAATAATTATATACAGTTGAAGTCAAAATTATTAGCCCTCTTCTAATTTTTTTTTCTTTTTCTGTCTTCAACTGTATACATAATATTTATACAAAACGGCCACAAACATACTTATGTAATGTAATGTAATGCAAACATACTTAAAATGTATGAACACTGCATACATATCACTTTCCTGTTGCTAAAACTGCTGTTTTTCTGTTTTTTGTGTTAAAAATAAGAGAGATTTTTAATTTACTTGTCCTTTGTGCTTGGAGAAGCATTCAAGATGCACTGTGCAGCTCAAGCAGACCATCACTCACTCATTTTTGCTTTGTATAAAAAACTAACCAATTTTTTTTCTTCTATGGGTTTGTGTGAGTACAATGTATTTCCTATGTCTTTTTATCTTAGTTATTCTGGTATTTCTAAATATTATGATTAGTATCACCTGTGTTACATTCTTTCTTTATATGCTGTCTTGATTGTTTACAGGTAGAAACTCAAACCTCATTAGTGATTTTGCTGATTTTTCCTCACCAGCTGCTTCTGCCAGTCTCCCGCCAGCTTCTGGTATGTAAAATTTAATTCCACATTGATTAAAATCACATGCACAGGATTGTTTTATTATTATTTATATTACATATTTTTTTATCTGCCTATTATAATTATAATAGTTATTAATATATATTATTAACTAGAAAGGCTGAAATGGTTCAGATTATTCATGGCTCGATTTGTGTCACGGTTTCAAGGGCTCTCAGTTTTGGTACAGTTTGGTAAAGAATATGTCAGAAGGGTTTGACTCAATAATACTCAAGTCAGGTGTGTTGACATAATTATTGGATATAAGAGTGTTAATCACAAACAAGACTGAATTTGCACATCATATTATTCCTTCACATGTTTAGTTAAGAGCCCCTCTCAAATCTCAACTGCGAGTTTTGTGGGTGCCTTGGTACTTAATATTTAAATATCAAAAGCATCTGAATTTAGTTTAAACACAGAGGGCTCTATTTTGACAGTCCATGCGCAAAATGGGGCGCAAATGCTTTCAGGGCATGTTAGAATCCACTTTTGCTAATATAAGGACGTAAAAATCCGCTTTGGGCCGTGACGCACGGTCTTAAAGGGTTGAGTTTATTTTCTTAAAGAGTTATAGGTGTGTTTTGAGAATAAACCAATTAGAGTCTCATCTCCCATTCCCTTCAAGAGTCAGTTGTGTCGCGCCATGGCACACTTGCTATTTACATGATGTAAAGTAAGTGTAGGTGGAAAAACTGAGCATTTCACTAGCAAGAAAACAGTTAAACAGAGATAAGGCATTTCATAATCTAGTTTCACTTTCACTCTCGTGGATAGGAAAACCTTGTACGCACAGACCTCAATTAGCCTATAAATAATTCATTTAGTTTGTTAAGCGCAGAGATTTGTTTCAAAACTATTTCTAAATTCAGTTCTAATTTCCAGCAAACGAATAAATGAACAATAATAACGAAGTGTGTTCAAAAACCCGAGTTATATCCTAATACACATGCTGTGCCCCATATGATCTAAAACCTGACAGGTGGACAAATCTAAGCTTGTTTTTAAGAAAACAAATACAAATATGCATACTGTATAATAAATAATACTGCTAATAATGATAATATTGTACAGAAGCAATTTGTATAAACTGAAAAAGCCTCCCGAGATGAAGAAAGCATAAAGGCAGTGGTTTTTAAATTCATGTAGGCTAGAAAATAATATGTTTTGTAACATTATAGTCCTTTTATATTTATATCCTATATATATCCTTATTATATCCTATATATATTCTTAATATTTTGATTATTATTCATATGTAAAGATATTTGCGTATTGCTCTACATCTTCTGTGTATTAATCAGTGTGTAAGCCAAGCGCACTCTGCGCCAGACAATAGGCCTGCTTTGTTCTGGTCTAAAGAACAGACTATTATTGTTTCTCAAAATAGCAATGCGCCAAAACACGCATGCTTTTTTAGACCAGAACGCCTATGGGCGCACATATGAGCAAAAATGCTTTTACTATTTAAACAGCATGGCGCAACACCTTAAAACGACTCTTGCGCCGAGCTGAAAGTAGCAAATAACAATTGCGTCGCGCCTTGCACCACATTGCGCAGAGTGTATGATAGGGCCCAATGAGTCACATACATTGTGAGCTTCCATAGAGGTCGTAACGATTGGTTCAATGTTATGTTACTTTTCCCATATCTCCATGAAAAAGAATCTGCATCGGGATGTTTTTTTTTTTTTTTTTTGTGTAATAAAATTTCTTTCAACAGGTGTGAAGTACACTTGCGATGGTAGCCGGATTGAAACACATCTTTTACCCATGGCACTTAAAAGTGTCAACTGTATGCCACAAACAAACAATAATGAGTCTTTTAACAATATTTGTATTTATTTGTATTATTTTAATTACACAATATATTCCACAGATCAAACCCTACTTCCCGCATAGGAAGAGCAAGACAATGTAAAGAAAGACACAAACATAAACTTGTGCAAAGCTGACACTGCATATCGGGGCAATTTCTCTTTCTGGGCTTTTTAAAGAAGAGCCACAAAGCCTCTTAATATGAGAATGTCTCTGGTGCTAAAAGGAAAGAAACTTCTAATGCATAAATTAATATGTTTTCTATTAAGCTTTTGACCCTCAGCAACAGAATAATAACAGATAAATGAAAAAAAAATATATATATTCAGCATCTAACACCTTTTATATCACACTGTTTCTTTTCAATGGGGGAAAGTAAATATATGTTTAAAAATGTTTAAACATAAAATAAAAAAATGAACTATTTCACTCTTTTGTGCTTTATTCAGGAGCCATGTGCACACACTGACAGATAAAAGCTGCTGCTTCTATCTCTTGGCTGTAGTCTTAGTCCTTAGAGATTAAGGGCCCTATCATACACCCGGCGCAAGCGCAAGATGTGTTTCTATGACTATTTTTAGACCAGTGCAACACAAATTTTCCCCTTTTTCACCACATAGTTTAAATAGTGTTTCAGTCTAGATAAGAGGCATGATAAGGCACATTGTTGGTGCATTGCTATTTTGAGGAACTAAAATAGACTGTGCAATAGACTAGCTGAGAGCAGGTCTCAAAGTCCAGCTCAGAACGCATTAGTTGTGCGTCTCACTTACACATTGCTTAATTCACCCATGATGTAATACAAAAATGCAATACAAAAATATCTTTACAAATGAAAAAGAATTAAAGAAATAAAAGATTACAAAAAGTATTATTTTTAAGTTTTTAAGTGTTATTTTATTATTGAAGTATTATTATTTAAAGTATTATGCGCCCTGCACTATGGACTTTGTGCCTAGATTGTTAAAATAGACCCCTAAGTCTCACTGGCCAACGTTTGCATACATGCATGACAAACATTTTGTGTGACCTCTAAATTAATCCAAAATCTATTAATTTAATATATAATTAAATTTGTTTATTTAACAACTACATTTAACAACTCTTAACCACTGTTTTGTAATAACAGTAACTCCGAAAGTATGGTCACCCTATTTAAGATAAGGCTTTTCTTTTGTTCACGTTTTGATGTTTTTCTCGAAGCTACTACCAAAGTCAGAACTGTAAAAAGAGTTTCTTGACCTGGTTTGGTGAAATATATCTTCCGCGTCTCTGTAGATCTCTCCAGAGCATATGAGATTGTGTGTGGTAGTGTCGACAGTTCTTGCACACACATATTTAACAGTACAAAACGTGTTAGATGAGCCAAGATTTTCCTACCAATCAACAGTGGATGTTTTGTTATATTGAGTACTTACAAAAAAAGTGTAAAATGAAAATAACAGTTTAAAAAATAAGTATTACCAAATAAACTTGTATTTTTACCACCCAGGTAAATTCTATGTGTGGCATGCATTACATTTTCATGGAGCTAGCAGTATTCTAACACAATTAGCATGTACAGTAGTTAGCATGTAGCTAACATGATAAGCAAATGTTAACAATTTTAACAGCATAGTAATCATGTAGCTAGTTTGATGGTACAAATAGCTAAATATTAACAACATGGTAACTGTGAAACTAGCATGATGATGATAACATGATTACCCAGATAGCAGGCAGTAATCGGCCCGAGCTCGGCTGCCCCCGGCGCCGACTCGGCATCGGCGAGTGTTATCCGGGCCAGTTCTTATTTTATCTAGTAATCTGTTAGCTCCACGTTTAATGATAATTTGAGAAAATATTCATGGTACGATAGCAAAAAAAAAAAAAAAAAAGAATATTTAGTGTGGATGGTCGCAATGTTTAGACGCAAACAAAACAGTATTATTTATAAATTTTTATACATGTCATCTAGAGAAAAACTATGTAAAATTCGCTTATTTTTGAGATAGCACGCTCCTGTGCTGACTGTTTTTTTTTTTAAAGCAGAAGTTGGTTTCATAATAAACACATGCGTTACTAAACTCCTGATCCAAACTCCAATCCAGACGGTGGCGGTAATGCTCCAAAAAGCTGGTTGTCAACCACCATGGCACGAAGATCACAAGAAGAAAAAGTTTGGTTTTTCAATGATTTCACGTGGATTCCGGTCAGAAAGGTAAGCTTTTTACTGCTTGTGTTCTGTATAATTAGCGAATTTAGAGCTTAAAACATTTCCACGGTGTTTGGTTGTAACAGCGTTTAGTAATTTAAAACAGTTTGATACGAAATGTAACTTGCTTTAAGAAACACGACTGGAGCTAATGTATGCTAACGCTAACAGTTACAAACACGTCTGAAAGTTCCTTTTCCTTTTACACAATGTTAGATTGTAACGTGTGTAGTAACTGAAAACTATTTTAAAGAAACATGAAACGAATTTGTGTGTATGCTCACTTTGCGTTAAAGAAAGTTTTTGTAGACGAATCCATTAACTAACTTGGCAAAACGTGTTTTTTTCCTGATTTAACATTATAAAGTACCGTGGATGTTGAAAAAAATCATTGTACAGGCGTATACTTATCCAACAGTATTAATTCTGTGATTGTGTAAATAAAAACTAATCGTTTTGGATTAATAAAATATTATTGTTTATCTTGTTTATGCAGTTAGTCACGAAAATGATCGAAACTCGACTGTTTACTATTCTCTTTAAATTATCCAAGAGAAATATATTACTATGCACTTTAATTCATATGTGTTAGCCTATGTGAATCAATTATATCTTTTGTTCAAGCTGTAATGGTCAGTTAATGTAAAACTGAACGTCTTAAAGCAGATTTTGATGTTTTTTTTATGTTATTGACAGTGATAAATTCTGATTTAAATGAATGGGTAACAATATTTGTTGGTTAAGTCTTATTGTTCTTGTTTAACAAAGGTTAGTGAGATCATTTTGCAGCACATCACGACCAAAGAAGTCAATGGCACACTCTTTTGAACGTGAACAGGCATGTTATAGTTGTGTGCTAAAAGTCCATTATAAGCTGTAAACTGCTGATACATTTTCAACATAGATTGAGCTTTTCAGACATTACATTACTAATTGCTTCACAAACAGCTGAAATGGTTTATTGTTATTGGCTACC